CATGTGCCACCATGCCTGGCTAATTTTTTCTATATATACATTTTTTTTTAGTTGTCCAGATCACTTCTTTCTAGTTTTTAGTAGAGACAGGGTCTCGCTTTTGCTCAGGCTGCTCTCGAACTCCTGACCTTGAGCGATCCACCCGCCTCGGCCTCCCAGAGTGCTAGGATTACAAGCGTGAGCCACCGCGCCCGGCCCGTGATTTCTTTCAATTCTTTGACCATATTTATGATGACTGCTTTGGAATTTTTCTGTATTAAAGCCAACATCTGTGCCCTAACACAGGCAGTTTTTGGTGCTTTTTTTGTGATGTGTGGGTCACACGTTGTTGTTTCTTTGCATGCCTCATAATTTCTTTTTTAAAAACTGGACATTTTAGGTAATATGTTGTGGCGGCTCTGGATTCTGATTCCCCCCTACCTCTAGGACTTGTTGCTTTTCTTCATTTATTTATTCATTTGACTGTATTATTTTAGTCAGTTCTTTCTCCCCTGCCCTCTCACAATATGAAGCCTCTGATGTCCTTCAGGACACGTACAGCTGTGCGGGGATGGCGCTGGATTTAGCAGGGCTCTCTCTGACTGTCTCCAGGCCTCTGTTGGTATCACTCCCGACTGTTAGGCTCTGCTGATTGCTTACTAACTGCTGTCTTGTTTTTGTCAGTGCTCTGGGTATAAATTGCTCCACAGTCTGACTCAGTTAAATTGGGCCCTTTTGCAGGGGTAGTTTTCGAGGCACGTCTTTGAGGTTTGTTCAGACCCCAGGAGGGATCTTCTTCGCTGTCTCTTTCCCTGATTCTCTCCGGTAAACTAGCTGGTCTACTGTTAAGCTTTTGCCCTCATGGAGCCACCAGCCTCCTCTTAATTCTTTACTACCAAAATCTCCATTATCTTCTTTTTTTTAATTTTTAAAAAATTTTTTAATTTTTATTTTTTTAGAGATGGGGGTCTCACTGTATTGCCAAGGTTGGTCTCAAACTTCTGACCTCAAGCAAACATCCCACCTTAACTCCTGAGCAGCTGGGACTACAGGAGTGAGCCTCTGTGCCTGGCTTCCATTATTTTCAAGAAGCTTGAACTTTCCTACACTTTAAATAAAGTCACTTCCTCGGGGAACAGCTTTGCAGTAGTTGGTCTTATAGACTGCCTCTTTGGGAAAAATCTCTGAGCTTCTGCTTTGGAGCTGAGAACAGGGACAGTGGCACACTTCTTATAAAGCAGAGTAACACCCCTGCTTTATGAGCAGGGTGCTGGGTAGGTGCAGTAGGGCCCTGCAAATTTTCAGCTTGCTGCACCTAGAGTAGAACCTCCACCCTATGAGTGTGGGCTAGGTAAGAAAAGGAGCTGCACCTGTTTGGAATTTCATTTGGAGCTTCTGTTCCTTTCTCTGTTTCCTCTCCTGCTGGTATTCCCATTACAAATGTCACACCTTTTGTAGTTCTTGAATATTGTGTTCTTTCTTTTTTTTTTCATTCTTTTTTTTCCTCTTTGCTTTTCAGTTTTTGAAATTTCTATTGTCATGTCCTCAAGCTCAGAGATTCTTTCTTCAGCCAAGTCCAGTCTACTAATGAAGCCATCAAAAGCATTCATTTCTTTTTTTCTTTTTTCTTTTTTTTTTTAAATTTTGAGACAGGGTTGTGCACGCTCATGTGTGCTCGCGTGCACGCGCTCTCTCTCTCTCTCTCTCTCTCTCTCACCCAGGCTAGAGTGCAGTGGTGTGATCATAGCTCACTACAACCTTGAACTTCTGGCCTCAAGCCATCCTCCCCTCTCAGCCTCCCAAAGTGCTAGGATTCCAGGCACGAGCCCCACTGCACCCAGCTGCGTTCATTTCTTTTACAGTGTTTTTTCATCTCCAGTATCTTTTTAATTCCTTCTTAGAATTTTTATCTCTCTACTTATATTACTCATCTTATATGTTGCCTACTTTTTCCATTAGAGTCCTTAGCATATTAACCGTAGCTGTTTTAAATTCCCAACCTGATAATTCAGTATCCCCACTGTACATGAATCTGGGTCTCGTGCTCTGTCTCTTTAAGCTGTGTTTTATTTCGTTTGTTTGTTTTGGGGTTTTCGGGAGTTTTTTGCCTTGTAATTTTTTTTGTTGAAAGCTGGACTTGATATACTAGGTGGAAGGAACTGCAATAAATAGGCCTTTGGCGATGTGGTGGTAAGGTGTGAAGGGAGGGTAGGTGTTCTAGAGTCCTGTGATCAGCTCTCAGTCTTTGGTGATCCTGCGCCCCTGGATGAGAACTTCACACATTCTTCTCAATCTCCTGTGCCCTCTCTTTCCCTCCGGGACAAGGTGGCTAGGAGGGGCTGGAGCTGGCTGTTTCCCTCCTCTAGGTCAGTTAGGCTCTTGATGAAACCCAGTAAGTTAGGCTCTAGTTAAATAGCTTCTTCTGAGGTCAGGCCCTGTTATAAGGAATGAATCCCCTGGCATGTTTCAGAACGATTATCTTTCCTCCCCCTCCCTGCTGCTGGAAGGACTAGGGGATTTTTTCCCTGATCTTCCCTATTGAGAGCCTGACAGAGCTCCTAGAGGTAAAACTCACGAGAGTGTGGGGGGTCTCAATGTGACCGGGTCCCCCTGGAGTTTTTAACCCTCAGACTTGCCTACACTGAGCTTCCAGCAATTTGTCAATTACAATTCAGGTTTTCTACCCTGGTTGGTTCCCACAGAGATCTCTGCTCTAGTAAGGTATGATTCTTTATACTATCTGTCTCTCCAACTTTGAGGGCAGCAGTTTTCCCTGTGACCTCAATTCTCTGAGGGATCTAAGAGGAGCTGTTGATTTTTCAGCTTTTTACTTGTTAGGATGGAGTGATGACTTCCAAGCTCCTCACATGCCAGACCAAAAACTGGGAGTCTCCCATGTTTTTTAAAGTATCTGCACCATCTCTGATATTTGAAGAGCTTGTTTGTATCTGTAGGGAATAAGGGCGGAGATGAATCGGACATAGCATTTAGCTCTGATTGTTTAATACTTTTTGGAGATCTCAGGATTATTGTCCATCCTGTGAATGTGAAGTTAAGTGGGATAGAATTATTTGACAGGAGACATAATTTAGAAGCCTATCTCTGAATTAAATAATTATTTTTTTCTAGTTTTTAAGAATATTTTTTCTGGCTCTTCAAAAAATTCCAAATGGTTGGTGTTCCCCATGCTTCTTTTAAGACTTAGTTGCTCAGCTTGTACCCAGCTTGAAGTGGTCTCCCTCTGCCCCGCCTGTCAGGTCCCCTAGTTAGCCTTCTGCCCCAGGGCTGCACCAGAATTGTTCTGGGTAAGGTTATAAGTAACATTTGCGCTGCCAGGTCCACTTAGTTCTTTTTAAGTTCTCGACTGAGCAGCACACACCTGACAGCTTCTTCCTCAAGAGGCTTTTTTCACTGGACTGCTGTGATGGCACCTTCTCCAGAACTTTCTCCCTCATCTGGTGCCACTTCTCAGTCTGTTTTGCTGACTTGTCTTTCCTTGCCCCTGTTTAACCTCTGTAAACCTCTGTTTAAATTCATTCCCATGGCTGCGAATCATCTGTGTGCCCATTCTCAATTTTGTATCTCCAGCGTGGCCCATTTTGACTTCCCCTCCGGTGAGTTTTCTGTAACCCAGAAAACTTTGTGTCTAGAAGGATAGAAAGAAAATACAATAAAATATTAATGGTGGTGAGACTATAGGTGATTTATATTTTCTTCTCCTTTATTTGACTTTCTATAGATTTTCTGTAGACCTTTGAAGTTTAGAGAGTGTTTTCAAATATTTAATCTCATTTTGATACGCTTGATGACACTGACCTTGAGCTGCTAGAGTCTAAATGTCGGCCTGTAACTGGACTTCAAACTAGGAAGTCGCTCCTTCACGTAGGTGTCTTTGTGTTGTGCCATGCCACCTCATTTGAAGCAGAACGTGTAAATCTTTATGGAGTTTCTGTGTGCTCTGGCTATGAGACAGTTACTTATGATGTCAATGTTGATTTTGCAGGTGGATTTGACATGGAAGTAAAAGGTTGGGGTGGAGAAGATGTTCACCTTTATCGGAAATACTTACATGGTGACCTTATGGTGATTCGGACTCCAGTCCCTGGTCTTTTCCACCTCTGGCACGAAAAGCGCTGTGCTGACGAGCTGGCCCCCGAGCAGTACCGCATGTGCATCCAGTCCAAAGCCATGAACGAGGCCTCTCACTCCCACCTGGGAATGCTGGTCTTCCGGGAGGAGATAGAGACACACCTTCATAAACAGGCATACAGGACCAACAGCGAAGCTGTCGGTTGATGTCATCATTAGCGCATCACAGTCTGAACCACAAACCAGTACTGTTTATTTAGCCTTAATTCCAATCCCAGATGCAGTGCCTCTTTCAGAGACGACGTGTTCATTTTTCACGTTCTTCCTGGCATTACTTTACTTTAGCATTTCAACTTGATATGAGAAGAAAAAACAAGTGCTGCAGCACAAAGCCTCTGTTTTGTGAGAATACTACACCATGGAATAATTGACAAATTGAAATCTGGTATCTGTCCCAAAAGTTGTTTCGAGTTAGTTTCTGCCTGGTGCCCATGTGCTGTGTCCTGATTGCATCTGGGTGGGGAGATGGGGTGTGCTGGGCTGGTGGGGAGGCAGGAGCAGCACAGTCCTACAGGGGGACAGAGTGTCATGGACATGGCGTGTGGACGGGTGTCTTCACCTGCCAGCCACTGTCACCCTGCTTGATTTTTAAATGAAGGGCTTTGGTTGATAGCTTGAAAAATCCTTTTTCACTGAAGCAGGGAATAATTAAATGACACATCTGAAATCCTCAGTCAGAGAAGGCAGAAATCAAAACCCCTTAACTTAATGTTGCTTAGCCCCCTGAATGTCTGTTTTTAAGCAAATGGGTAATAGTAGAAAACAGAATGATTAAAAATAGAATGTGTTATTGCATTATTATCATGTTCAGGATTAGCAGTCAAAGTTTCTATAGACTGTTTTGAACAAACAAAAAAACATGGAAACATTTTTAACAGAGTATTTAATTATGGTGGAGCACAGGATACTAGCTGTGTCTGGAAACATCAGTTTATGTGAACCAGCTACATCAGGGCCTTCCTGTGGTGGTTCAGAAAAGATGAGCATAGCATGGTTTTCTTTGTTTTTTGCTTTATATTCTCTCATTTAGCATAGATGCATATGTATTTATTATCATTTATTTTCTAATATGTTAATATATGCTATATGTGTATGTATTATTATAATACCTTGAGTTGAAAGAGTTTCACTGTGGGGAGAAAAAACAATTTAATGAGGTATCCATCAGATCATTCTGATTTGAGAGAAGGGGAGGAGAGGAAGGTAGTCTAAGTGGAAATCTGAATTACAGAATATTTTAGAGAAACGTACGGCTTGCATATAGAATGTTTTAATTGAAATACAAATTATATTAATGAGACAAGGCGAGTAAGAAATTATATTCCGACAGGACTGTACTGTGTTATTTATCACTATCAGGTCAATTGCTAGGTCCAGAAATTGGATATGAGATGAAAGACATGCATAAATTTTTCAACCTTTGGCTTTTAAAAGGGACCTATATTGAATTCAGTGTGTACATAAACCCCTGGAAATTTACAGAAGAAAAATCATTACATTTTTTCACAGTAAATAATATCTGAAATACTACAAATTTCTAGGTGCTACATGAATTCAATTTTATAATAACTCTTAACTAATTATTCTTACAAGTTTTAAGTCGGGATAGTATTTAGGGTTTTTTTTAAGATATGTAAAATGTTCTCTGCAAAATAATTCATGCCATTGTCTCTTTTTATATGCAATTATTTATTTTGAAGACCAGTGAATTACAGTATTTAAAGTGAGAGAACTTAATTATTTGCAAAGGTAAGTTGCAGCTTGTTTTTTGAAAGAATCAAATGATAATTTTGCTCCTTTTTTTTTTAAACTAGCTTTTAATTTAAAGATGGAAGCTAAGGAATGGAAACATTCCTATGTTTTTGACATTAAATGGTACCAATAAAGTATTTTATTATAAAAAGTTAAATGAGAATGTGATAAATTAATTTCATTAGATTGTAAAATATCATAAATACAGAAAAAGTATATAACACGTAATTGTGTACTTTTTTCTTTTTCATTTTCTTTCTTTTTTTTTTTTCGAGACAGAGTCTTGCTCTGTCCCCCAGGCTGGAGTGCCGTGGTGTCATACGCCTGGGCTCAAGCTGTCCTTCTGCCTCAGCCCCCCGAGTAGCTGGGACTACAGGTGCATGTTACTGCCTGGCTGATTTTTCTATTCTTGGTAGAGATGGGATCTTGCTCTTGCTCAGGCTGGTCTCAAACTCCTGAACTCAAGTGATCTTCCTGCCTCGGCCTCCCAGAGTGCTAGGATTATAGGTGTGAGCCATCATGCCCGGCTGTAATTGTGTTCTTTAAAGAATAAAGCGTACACCAGTGCACCAGCCGCCCATACTAGAATATGGGGCATTACCCGTGCCAGGCCCGTGTGCCCCTTCTCCGTCACATACCCTCATTCTGCCCATGGTAGTCACTGTCTGATTTTTGTGATAATTTTTCACTTGCTTTTCTTCATAGTTTTCACAATTGTGTGTGTATCTCTGCCTAAGATACTGTTTAGTTTTAGCTGTTTTGAGTTTATATACATTATTATATCATTATATATTCTTTCATTTAGCGTTACTTTTGAGGATCACCTGTGTTAATCTGAAAATCAGTTCATTTTTATTACTGAATAGTATTCCATTGTATTGTAGGGATAGAAAAACTCCCCTCCATCTTCTTAGGGTCCCAGCTGGCTCTGAGAATTCGATTGGCATAGGATTGATTAACAGAAGAAAAGCATACAGATTTATGTAATAAAAATTTTATGTGATACAGAGCCCTCTAAAAGAAAAGAAGTCCCAAAGAAGCCTTTAGAGTCACTTACTTATATACTGAATTGGACAAAGAATAGTAAACTAAAAATATGACTAAATTATGTGGGGAGGCTTAAAAAACAAGAGTTATTCTAACAGAGTCTGGACAGTATCCTCTTGGTCTCAGCTTCTCATCACTGAAGATAAGGATGCTGCCTCTGCTAGCATAGTGAGTACCGTTCACGTGGGAATTCCTCTGCTGCTCTTAAGAAACAGCGCAAAGGTCAAGGTGATCTTTTTGCACCTGCTGTTTCTCAGGTGTCTTTAACATAAATAGTCAATATGCCAGAAAAACATATTTTAACCCCTTCAGTATGAGTATACCACGATATGTAATTAATTCTATTGTTGGTAGATATTTTTGTTGTTTCCAGTTTTTTTGTTATTCTATTCTTGGTAGCTATTTGAGTTGTTTGTATTTTTTTTGTTGTTTGCTTTTGCTATTAGAAGCAGTGTTGTCATGAACACCACTGTACATGTCTCTTATAAGTGTGCCAGAATTTCTCTAGGAGTAAAAATGCTGAGCTAAAATGTGTGCATGTGTGACTTTCCAAGTGGACCACCTTCCAGCACTGGGTGAGAGTTTACTTTGCATCCTTGGCAATACTTAATTTTGTCAGGCTTATTAATTCTTGCCAATTTAGTGGGCTTTAGGCATGAATTGTAGTTACAATTTTCATTTCTAGTCTTTTTGCCCATTTTCAGCAGTTCATAGGAATTCCTCACATATTCTGGATACCAATTCTTGTTGGTTAAATGTTTGCAGATGTCTTCTGCCAGGATGTGGCTTGTCTTTTTCCCATTCTTGATGGTACTCTTTGGTGAATAAAAATTAACTTTAATGTGACAGTTAATCTTTTTTCTTTATTATTTCTACTTTTTAAAATAGAATTTATTTTTTAGAGCAGTTTTAAGTTCACAGGAAAATTGAGCAAAAGGTACGTGGAGTTTCCCTGTATCCCCTGCCCACACAAACGTAGTTTCCCCATTATCGACGTCCCCCACCACAGTAACAAATTTGTTACAATTGATGAAGCTACGTTGACAAATCATTATCACCTAAAGTTCATAGTTTACATTAGGGTTCACCCTTGGTATTGTACATTCTGTGAGTTTAGACAAATGTATGATGACATGTATCCATCATTATAGTGTCATATAGAATAGTTTCACTGCCCTAAAAATCCTCTATGCTCTGACTATTCATCTCTCCCTACCCCTGGCGACCACTGATCTTTTTACCATATCATGTATTAATAGCTGGAATCATACAATATGTAGCCTTTTCATATATTTGCCTCTTTCACTTAGTAATATACATTTAAGTTCATTCCCTGTCTTTTTATGGCTCAATAGCCCATTTCTTTTTGGCGCTGAATAGTATTCCATTGTCTGGATGTTCCACAGTTTACCCATTCGCCTAATTAAAGGGCATCTTCATTGCTTCCAAGTTTTGACAGTTATAAATAAAACTGCTATAAACATCCATGCGCAGGTTTTTGTGTGGACCTAAGTTTTCAACTCCTTTGGGCAAATAACAAGGAATGCAACTGCTAGACTGTATGGTAAGAGTATGTTGTGTTTGGTAGGAAATTGCCAAATTGTCTTCCAAAGTGGTTGTACCATTTTGCATTCCCACCAGCAGTGAATGAGAGTTCCTGTTGCTTCACATCCTCACCAGCATTTGGTGGTGTCAGTGTGCTGGAATTTGGCCATTCCAATAGGTACGTACTGGGTCATTGGTTGTTTTAATTTGCATTATCCTGCATTTAATTTGCAATATCCTGATGACGTATGATGTGGAGCATCTTTTCATGTGCTTTATTTTCCATCTGTATATCTTCTTTGGTTAGGAGTTGGTTACTACTTTTTGTTATTGATTTATGACCTCATAATAGGGAAGGATTTCTTAAAGATACTGTTATATATTATCTTCTCAATATCTCCTACATAGTTTTGCTTTTTTTCAGTTAAGTCTTTAACCTAAGTGGAAGAGATTTTTCTGCATGATATGAGGTAAGGATTTCATTTCACTGTTTTCCAGCGTTGTGTCCATACTTTACCCACATATCTGCAAATCCAGTCTGTCATCCATCAGATGTCCCTACGTGCAGGGTCCGATTCTGGGCTCTTTCAGTTCCCATTTGGTTGTCTTTTACCACACCATTGTCACACAGTCTGACTCACCATAACGCTATACAGGTTGATATCTGAGATACTTTGTCCACTTGCTTTGTTCTCAAAGATTGTCATGGCTATTCATAGCCTTTGTACTTTCATATAAATTTTAGAATAAGCTTGTTAAGTTTCACAAAAACTTTTATGAATTTGATTGGAATCTCTCGGCTCTATAAGGTCACTTTCGGGAGAATTGACATGCTTATATTTATGTTATGACGTTCCAATCCTGGAACATGACATATCTGTTTAGGTCTTTATTGTCTTTCAGTTAAGTTCTATAATTTTTCATTATTCATGTATTATTTTCTTCCTAGGTACTTTGCCTTTTTGATGCCATTGTACTAGTCCTTTTATTTTTATTGTCTGTCGTTGGTGTTTAGAAATCATTGATTTTTGTGTGTTAATTTTTGTGTTCAGAAACCTTGCTAAAAACTGTTAATTCTAATAGTGTATTTTTAGTTTCTTTTGCATTTTTCCTGGTATATGTCTATATCATATATCTATGAGTAGTGAAAGTTTTGTTTCTGTTCAATTTTTAAATCTTTAATTTCTTTTCTTATCTTCCTATGCTGGTCAGGATTTGCTGTGCAGTGTTGATGGAAGTGGTAATAGTGGGCTCCCTTGCTCTGATTTCAAGGGTGATACTTTTCAGTGTTTCATCAGTAAGTGTGGCATTTGCTGGAGGTGTTTTTGTAAGTACGCTGATTATCAGGTTAAGAAAGTTCCCTTCAATTATTATTTGGTGAGTTTCTATCATGCTTAAGAGCATTTACCAAACACTTTTACTACATCTGTTGAGATGATCATATGTTTTTTCCCTTCCTTTAATGGGTGTGTTAAATCGATGGGTTATATTAATAGGTTTTCTGAAGTATTCTTGCATTCCTGCGGCAAGCTCCCATGGGTCATGATGTATTATTCTTATTCTACATTGCTGGATTTGGTTTGCATATATACACACACACACATATG